AGCCATGGCAGGGAGCCCTGCTGGCTGGAGTGAGTCTAGCAGCTGGAGATAAGCCTTTCTGGCAGTCCAGAGATGAAGGCTGGGAGCAATGCACGGGCTGGGGCCGCAGACAGGAAGAGAGCCCTGAGAGATCCTGAGGCCTGACCTCCTCTGAGCCAGCAAATTCCCTTGTTCAGGTCCTCAGGGTGCCAGACCAGGGAGGTCCCACCTGTATATGGTGCCAGATGAGTTAATTGCAGGCTTGGACTGAAGATGAGTTCTATCTGGTAACACAGCTCATTTCCAAAGAATGCTAACAGAAAATGGGGGAGAAAGGGCTGTAAAGGGGGAATATGGTTAATCACAGAAACACAATGCCAATTTTCACTGGTGTTTATGGGAAACTTTGATCATATAAGCAGGCATATTTTAGTAATCCAGCATTCATATCATACCTATCCAGCAATTCTGGATATCCAATTCACATTTTTCCCTATAACATTCCTCTGACAGATATCTATCTCTAAGGCTGTGTCTACATTGGCATCCCTTTCCGGAAAAGGGATGCTAATGAGACACAACGCAATTGCAAATCCACGGGGGATTTAAATATCCCCCGCGGCATTTGCATTTACATGGCTGCTGCTTTTTTCCAGCTTGGGGATAATTCGGAGAAAAGCGCCAGTCTAGACGTGATTCTCCGGAAAATAAACCCTTTTCCGGAGGATCTCTTATTCCTACTTGAAAGTAGCACCAGAAAAATTATTTTATTTATTTTTATTTACTTTTATTGTTCCTGATTTGTTTCAGGAAATGGACATAAAAAAGAGAGAACATCCATGAGGTGGAATATAGTTGTGATTTGCTGAGATCTAGAGCACAGTTTTCTCTGTTGCTTTGTTTTTGTTGCAATATCACTGTTTTGTTGGAGGCAAAAAAATTACCCCTAGCCCAGAGAGAGACTTTCCTGTCTGGGGTGTAACAAAAGCTTCTGTGTAGACTGCCCACCCACAGAGAGGTGAATACCAAGGTTTATAGGACAGAAATTGGATTAACAAAATTGACTGTTATAGATGGAAGGGCCTCACTCATCTTTCATCACTCATTGTAAATCAGTTTGGTAGGCTGATGATTGACCTCTTTACATCTGGAAACAGAAGCCAAAGTGCCCTACAACCTGTAGGTAAGGATGCCAGAAAGTGATATGGTGATTGAAATCTTGCACAGCTGGGCAAGGTCCCTGCTAGCCCTATTCCATTTTTCTCACTCATGCCCAGGACAATACAAAAGATAATAAGGAGAGAGCAGCAGTGATATTTTTGTGACTTTCTGGCTGAAAGGGCTATGGCTGCTAGGGTTGATTAACCTTGCACTGGCTTTTTGTATGTCTGTGTTTCAGAGAGTCAGTCTGCTATTCAAAGACCAGTTCTCCATCTGGGACCAGATAGATTGAAAATAAATCCTTGGATGAAGTTATTGTTGCTATCATGTATCCTAAAGGAGAAGTTAACAAATGAAATTTACTCTAGTGCCTTGTGTAAAGTCTATATTTTACTTACCACACTAAACCAGTGAAAAGAAGCCTTCAGTGGCCAAAGCCCAAGGGACTATATTGGGTATAAGCATCCAAGCAAATAGGTCAGGTCTCTGTATTTTAATGGTCTTAACATGTTAAAGAAAAGTAGGCTTTGTATATATCCCAATGCTGAATGTTTCCTTAGGGCATCAAACAAGTCCTCAAGGTCAGAGAGTACAAACTTAGAACCTCAACCTGCAACTGATAACGCTACCCAGACTGAACCCATATAGAGGTGTAATTATACTGCGTACCCTTTAAAGTCGTCCTTTATCTCAACACTCTATCTTAACACATTGGGTGCTGGTTTAGATTCAAAGATTTTGGAATGTCTTCTTTTGAAACATTCAGTATTGCACCAGTAACTTTTAATGCAGGGTTTCTCAAAGATTTTCAGTGAATGGTCTACATTTTAATGGAGATTGTCTTGGTCAGTATGTCACTTCCCATTTTAAATCATACAACATCTCTCTGGCAGCATGGAAAAGCAATGTTACAAAGCTACTGAATATATGTTGGTTTTTTAAATTCTCTCATGCAAATTGGCATATGGAAACCATGGAATCAATATCATGTGACAAGCTAGGCATTCATGGCACACCAACAAGGTTTCATGCAGCACCTGTGGTCCATAGAGTATAAGTTGGGAACCTTTTCTTTTTGCCAAAGCCATTTGCAATATGCACACAGAAGCATGAGGCCTTTACCTTCAAGGGAAGTTGTGGGCACTTGACACAATCCAGGATCAGACGAATGACTGTTTTCTTTTAGTCCTATTGTTACTGCAGACCTGAAAAAGAAACTGCAAAAACAGAAAGAAAAAGCTGGCAGCAGACATTATGGAATGATTTAGTGCACAGTTATGCAGAACTATAGTTGTAATGATGAATTTACAAAGGTACAAAGGTCAGAGAGCTAACATGGCCTGGAGCAGCAATATCTGTAATTGAGAAAACTAAACTCAAATCCAGGAACAGAAAGCATGACTAGTGGATAAATACTGGAAGAACTGCCAGCAAAATAACACCTCAGGCATCAAAAATAAGAAACCTATTAAATTTAGGTTAGCTTAGTAATCACTAGCTCGGCAAATCAGTCATGGAATAATGTACTATATTTGGGTATGTCTACACTACCACCCTAGTTCGAACTAGGGTGGTAGTGTAGACATACCCAAATATAGTACATTATTCCATGACTGATTTGCCGAGCTAGTGATTACTAAGCTAACCTAAATTTAATAGGTTTCTTATTTTTGATGCCTGAGGTGTTATTTTGCTGGCAGTTCTTCCAGTATTTATCCACTAGTCATGCTTTCTGTTCCTGGATTTGAGTTTAGTTTTCTCAATTACAGATATTGCTGCTCCAGGCCATGTTAGCTCTCTGACCTTTGTACCTTTGTAAATTCATCATTACAACTATAGTTCTGCATAACTGTGCACTAAATCATTCCATAATGTCTGCTGCCAGCTTTTTCTTTCTGTTTTTGCAGTTTCTTTTTCAGGTCTGCAGTAACAATAGGACTAAAAGAAAACAGTCATTCGTCTGTCTTGTTAGCTTGCCTGAATTTGTGGTAGTTGAGACCATGTGTAGGTTATTCCGCTGGCTTCCACATTGTTTGTTTGAAGATCCTTGATTCTAGTATGCACTAATATAACGCCCCATTGTGAACCAACCCAGTACTAGAATTTTGTAAGTTTGTTTCTCTGCAGCGAATAAGCAGTCTTCAAATAACAAAAACAGAGAGCTTGTTTTATTTCTTCTGTTGTTGCTGCCCGGTATCCCGTGGTTTTATGTATGACAACCTGTGGTTCCTCGTGAATGTAACCCTTGATGTTTCTATTTGGTGTGTTTGGAGTAGCTGAGGATAGTTCAATATTTTCATGCTGCGTGCAATGCTTTTATATTTTTTAATGTCTGGAGTTCTTATGTAAGACAACTTTTTCTTGTAGGCTACATTGAATAACTCATCATGTAGCTTTCTATTAATAATTGCATACACAATTTGATCTCTGAGCTGTTGAAATGTAACAGCACTGCACCATTGCATGTGAAAGCCAGATAATTCAAACTTCTTAGAAATTCTGGCAGTTCTTCATCCAGGGATTGTCCAAGTTTTCAGAAGCTATGAGCCAAGTAATGTCTCTTAAAGCCATAGGATTATCAAATGAAACCAGTGCAGATCCTTTTTTTATTGAGAGGTCAGAGATATTCTACATGCGTGGTGCTGAAACTGGAAGAATGTCTCTAATGATGTTGGAAGAGCATGCTGAAGAGTAGATACTGGACTTTTTTTTTTTAATTTGCAGGATTCAACCCCATCACCACAGGATTCTTCCCACTGGCCAGCCAACAAGAGAAAGGTAGAGGCAGTCCAACCCATTACCAATGTCCCCTCTAATCTTTTCCATCCATGTGCAGAATAAATTTTACGTGCACTGAGGCATGTGTGAATGTGCACCTCCAGTAGCAGCACAGGACTTAGCTATGGTTGTTCTGCTAATCAGCTGGGGGGTGTTTGAATCTCTCTTGAGCAGCTACTCAAGCGCACCGCTTACAGAGAACACTGCTCGTTACCCAATTATGTTCTCTTTATAACATGTAAAATAGCATGACTAGCTTCAATTTTCTTGTGCCTTGCTCACAGGTAGTACAAGAACAGGGATTGTACCTACTGACTCCTTCCACCCTCTTTTGTCTCTTTGTGCGAAGAAGCCTGTATTGTATCAGATTTCTGTGCTTGGAGTAGTGTTGTTAGAGGCAAATTAAATGTCAAACTTTGTGAGGATGAAAATGTGGGAGACCAGTTCAGATGAGTTAGAACATAAGAACAGCCATACTGCGTCAGACCAAAGATCCAGCGAATTCTATATATTGTCTTTTACCAGCGGCCAATGCCAGATGCTTCAAAGATGGTGAACAGAGCAATTATCAAATGATCCATTCCCTGTAATTGAGTCCTAACATCCGGCAGTCAAATGGGATTGCATCCCTGGCCATCTGTCCTAATAGTCACTGATAGACCTATTTTCCATAAGCTTATTCTCTTTTTATCCCAGTTATAGCTTTGACTTTCTGCTCTCTACCCACAAGAAGACTAAATTCTTGCAAAGATATTAAGTTACAAAAATACATGATCCAGGGCTCATCAGTGAGCCTGGGGATAGGACATTATTGCTGAACAACTTTTCAGCATGTACATGCATGTACACCATGCATGTACACCAGCTATGTGTGCATGTACACCAGTTGTGTGTGCATGTACACCATGCTCCTTAGTTGACCATGGTTCATTTTGCTACTTGAAATATTTTGGCAATGAACATATTTTTGCCAGTCAAATGAACATATTTTCCCTCTAATAGTCCGGACTCAACAGACATAATTGAAAACTGATGGTCAAAGTATAACATGACTGGAAATAGGGCAAATCATAATGCATAGGAGTTTATTTTCAAGCACATTTATTTCTGGAAAATACATTGCATGAGAGAGCCTTGTTTTTCATACTACACATGTATACATTCTGACATCACAATTCTAATTAATTTCTAATCTGGCAGTGCAAATTGGTGGTTGATATACAATTTCTAGTAATCTCCAGGATTTATAAAATCCAGTATTTGAGCTAGATAAAATATTTGTTTGGCAAATAGGTAGACTTTGGAAGGTTTGGTTTTAATCTCATGTCAGTGAATTGAATTTGTGTCCTATTTTTTAAAAAATAGGGATGGGTAAGTGTGTGTGTATGCATGCTCTTCAGCACAGGTGATGTTTGCCACCTAGACCTCAAAACTTGTCTGGCAAGCCCCCGCCACAGCAGTAGGTGCATTAAGGGGAACAGGATAACGCCTGTGATTTTTAGTAGGCCTACAATTATGGCCTCAGTTCTAAAAAGCAGCAAATTGATTTTGAAGTGCCTCAATGTTTGGATGCCCATATGAAGACTCTTCAACAGTTTGATATTTCAAAATGTGTCCTCCACACTTGGAAAATATCAGGTACATGTGAGGTCTCTAATCAGGCACTCCATGTGATTAGCTGCTTTAGAAAATCTCTGCTAGATGCTCAAGGGATTTTGTAGGAAGGGCAAATCAAGTTGATGGGTAAAAGGGTCTGAGTGAGTGGTTTGGGGGAAATGTGTTGGAACATTCTTCAATCTGCAGCTAAGTGCCAAAAGCTTGTCTGGGTCAAATTGATCTAGCTCTGACTTCAGTGGAGCTATGTGGATCAGGCCCAAAGATTTCCATGATTTAAAAAATGTGTATTTGACTTCAAATGTATGTTGCTATGTATCCAACTGCATGTGCACATGTGCCACATGGGAGTGAGACTGGAAATTTTGGAATATCAGTGACAGTTGGTGTCATGTTTGGGCCTTGTGCCTCTCTGTGCTCTCTAGTGCACAGGCATAAAAGATGGAGTGCTCATGACACCTAGTTTCCTCTTTAATGTCTTGTGGTATCATCCAACCTACAGATAAATCTTCATCAAACCTTCTTCTAAATTTCTTCAGGTCTCTATTACTTTCTTACTCAACTGCTATGATCATATCAACTTATCTTGACTGAGTATTGAGTAAACTTCCTTTCTACAGAACATTCTCAGCCTTCTCTTAGCATGACAGACTTGAAATCTGCAGATTTTAAGCCCTATTCATCGTATGACCAGCATAGAAATTAATTAGCCCCGCAGTCCCTGGTGATGAAGCTGTCGTCAACGTTATCATTGATAAAACAGATTCCTATGACATTGAAGTCCAGCATTGACAGGAGCCTGTAGTCGGCAAGAGTAAGTCTCAGGTCCGACACTGGGCTCTCAAGGTACAAAGGACGCCACACAGGTATCTGTCAAACACAAATAGTTTATTTCCTGACAGCTAACAGCTGTGCCCCATAAATGGAAGAACAACATAACAAAGAAGCGACATGTCTTACGTTCCTTCCTGCAAGCCTGGAACCCCGGGTAGGCTGCGGATGAAGTGGGAGGTTGTCTCAGCTTCCAAGGCACTGGTACCCAAAGCCCATCGGTGAGGTTCGATTTGCTAGGCTCTGAGGCAGCCTTAAATACAGTTTTCCCTGCCTTGTTTGGCAGTTTGGAAATTTCCAGGGATTACTCATCACATGCTGGTGTAGGGTTTAGCTGTTAGTTATTGATCTGGTTCTGATCTGGATCTTCTTGTTCTTTGGCTCTGTTTACGTGATCAGTATGTTAGGGTAAACAGAATTGTTTATGCGTTCTTGCCCTTTACTCTTATCTTATACTTGTTCTTGCTATACTGGCAAAAATGCTATCTTAAGTGGCATATGTTCCCAAAGACTTGCTTCTGGCTCATCATATATAGGGGAAAAGGAAAGGGGGAAGGAATGCAGGCCTCACCACCCCTAAACTAACACGGACAAAGTTCTTCCACAATTGACCACTATAGAGACCCTCTGAGCACAGAGGTAGATTCCAGGTAGAATCTGTAGTCCTCTAATTAGGACAGGCAAACACACAACCTCTGGAGAGAAATTCCCCAAATCCTTCTCAGCATGAAGGACTTGGGAATAGAAGCAGCCTATAGGGCATAGTGCTCAGTCTCTCTTGTCATTGATGTTGACTGTGGAATATGAGCTTAGGAAAGAACAAGCACAAGCATAGTTCTGACTCATCTGCTGGTTCTAATATGGATTCCAGACCTTAGTACTCTTGACATCAGCATTGCCCTTACACAACATATATCCCAGTAACAGCAGAGGAGTATACTTTCTACCTGTCTTCATGCAGAGAATCCTCTGCTCTCGGATTCAGGCAAGGTCTGCCAGATTTGCTTAGAGGGTATAGCCACCATGGGCTTGTCAAGACTAGGTATTGTTCAGTCCAGTTCCAGTGAGCTAACTGTACCTCTATGTATACCATGATGGCCTAGGTAGGGTTACTGAGATCCAGAGTCTGACATCAAGAAGCCCCCGTCTACTTTACAGTCAGATAAAAAAAAACATTCTCTCTCCACTCCCAGTATTTATGGCCATACCAGCTACACCAGAATATCAAGAGGAATTAGATCTTGGTGAAGAGCAACTCTAATACCATATGTCACCAGCTGAAGACCTCTTCATTCCCAAATGAGTCAATATCCTTAGCAATGGTATGAGTACCTAATAACTTAAAATCATTCTCGTCTAGGAAATCGTTGGAAAAATTATTATTTACTCTACCATGATTGTGGTTCTCTGTGGGACTCTAATGGGGTGGGACTCACCACCACGGCACCCCCTGCTGGTCACACTGGGAATTAACTTGGTTCATTGAGTGTACTGTCTTCTGGTCAGTGTCTGGCCCATTGTCTATTCCCCTGTCTTTTCCCTCTAGCTCTGGAACTGCATTATTCCCTTGGTCTGCAACATCTGATTCAGGACATTGCCTTCTAGCAATTCCCACCACTCCAGTCTTCCCTTTTTCAGGGGAATCTGCAGTTCCCAGTCTTTGCACCCACCTCCCTGGCCAACTGCAGCCCCAAGTCTAGCCCCTCACCTCTGAGACAAGCCACAGCCTGTGTCCGACCAGGCTCCTCTGCAGCAAGGTGTGGTGCAAGAGGGTAGGTGGGGACTCAGGCCTGTCCACTACTCTAGAGGGATCCACTAGTGGCAGCCATGTCCCGCCCTTCCCTCTACTGCCTATATACCACTTTATCACTTCTCCTTAGCCCTTATATCTTCTCAGCCACAGTCAGTTCTTCTCCCTTGCTCCCCTGAATATACTGATCTATGCTCTGCTGTGATGCTCTCTCTGTATATCAGGGGTGCCCCAGCAAGCTGCCTTCTGCTTAGCTCCTAATAAGCCCATTCCCGAGTGGCTGGGGCTCTTGCACAGCTCCCTCTGGTCTGCTTTAACGTCTCCTTGTCTGAATGGGGTAACTGCCCCACTACAAGGTCCCAAAGTCCACCCCTGTCCCTGCTTTTTTTGGAATCCTCATTTATCACAGGCTCCAGATTGCAGGGGAACTGAGGAAGTACTGCTCTGATCTTGATGCCCTCAGAAAGGAAAATGAGTAAGCAGAGGGCATTTACAACTGAAGTATATTTCATCAACAGTAGTATATTTTATCAACCAAACTTATAATCACACTTTAAAAACGCATTAGTTTAGCAAAATCTATTATCCGTAAACTAATTTGATTGGCTTTAATTATATTACCCTCCTTATTAATCCAGTCCCATATCAGCTGCTCTATCATATTGTGCCAAGATCGATGGCAGATTGACAAGCCTCTAACTACCCTGTCACCCTGTTTACCTATTTCTATATATACGAGCATTCACTTTGTTCTGAGACTTACTCAGTGTTCCAAGATTTATCATTATTAACAGACTTGCAGGTTCTTTATGCAGGTCCTGAAAACCCTTGCATACAACTTATCTGGACCTGCTGATTTGAAAATGCCTAACTTCATTAGCTGCTGTCTAAAATCCTGCTTAGATACTGGTGAAATGGAAGGAGTATTATCTGATTTCTCTGTTTCTCTTATCTATTTCTCCCCTTCCGCCCAAAACAGGGCAGACTATTTATTGGCCACTTCTTCCCTTTCTGCATTGCTATTGATAATTCTACCATTTTCATCTACCTATCTAATTAGTAAGATTATTTTTTTCTTAATATACCTAAACTTCTGTTCTTTTTCCTTAACTCTGCTGGTCATAGATTTCTTATTTTTCTTAGCTGCTTCTCTCATCTATTTTCTACAATCCTTAGCTTTTGATTTATACTCATTACTATCAATTTTTTCTTTCTTCTGTTATTATATATTGTATTTATATTTATAACTGCTTTCATTTCCCTTATAGACTGGGACATATTTTAAGCCAGTACATCCTCCTTCCTTTGTTGGGGCTTTTTGCACATCTAGTATTCTTAAATAATTCCCAGTTAGAATTTAAACTATGGAAATAAGTGCTTTCTCCAAGCTGAATTGATTTGTATTAAGCAAGTATTCTTGACAGAAGTCTTGAATAGAAATTCACAACAATATTAATAGTCATATTGAGCAAGAGTAGGGAGATTGTGTTAGCTATGTATATGGCAGTCATGAAAACATTGTGAGATAGTGTATCCAGTTCTAGTGTCATTTTAATGTTTCCTTCAATTATACCAACTGGTTATGGTCTCAGGGAACTCCACATCTAATCCCTTCTTACCCCCAACATTTCTTCCATTCCAACTGGTTATGGTCTCAGGGAACTCCACATCTAATCCTTTCTTAACCCCAACATTTCTTCCCTTCTTATACCCATATTCTTCCTTTGTCTGAGAAGGGGAGGCAGCTGGACTTGAATGCTCAGCTGGCCAGTCAAAGCCAGATTGTGACCAAGACAGAAGGAAAGAATGTGGGCCTCAAAATCTTTGCTCAAGGCAAGAGCTGAATTTGAGGCTTAAATTATTATCTGGTGGTCCTTTCCCCTGATGATTTTGGTTGGCTCTGTTTGTTTGTTTGTTCTTGGTTACTCATTTAAAAACAATTTTCAAACAAACACAAAAATATTTGCAGAAAGCCTTTAGGAAAAAGAGTTTTTTTCACATATGTATTTGGCAGCTGGAAACTTTTTGACAAGTTCCAGCAACTTTCTTTCGGGTAGAATGAACTGAAATGGGAAAATGAGATGGCAATTCTTACCTCTAAGGAGACTGGCAGTGTCTAGAACCCTGACTGCATCACTACTTCCACCTCAAATGAAGGGGATAAAAAAGAGTAAGAAGACAGGGAAAAGAATTCCTTCTTGATAGTAAAAGTATGAAGGGGATAAAAAAGAGTAAGAAGAGAGGGAACAGAATTCCATCTTGATAGTAAAAGGTTGGTGGAGTTTTACCCTGACACTGCTGCTACTAAGAACTGTTTGAGTTAAAATCCCATTGAGATTGGCAGGTCACCCTTAAGCAGAAGTATAAACATAAGCACCACCAAAGACAAAAAAAGATGTGCTTAAAACTGCCCAACAGCTTTTGGCTAAGTTTTGTTTTGGGTAGAAGCATGAGTCTGTGTGAAGAGAAAACTCCCTGAAATTGAGGTCCTGTGAGAACAGACAATGAGAGATGCAGCTAGAAGGATCAACTAAAAGTGTACTGCTGACTGGCTGATCCTGGATTATACCTGGGGAAAGGCTTTTAGGTCTGAAGTGCAAGCAGAGAAGAGCGCTCTTGTTTCTTTGAGGAAAAACAAAAACAAAAAAGTGGTTTCCCGTTTGATTTCCTCTGTGTGCAGAGACACAGCATTTGCACAGCCTTTGTAACTAAACAAAGCAGCACCCAAAGCATACCTGACAGCCACTAATTTCTTCTCCCCATTCTGATGCCTGGGACCTCAAACTTTGACTGTTCACTCAGATCAAAAAGAGGCAACAGTACTATCATTTGAAATGCAGCGACAATTTATTTTTCCACTTGTTAGTTTAAGCAGCACCCAAAGCATACCTGACAGCCACTAATTTCTTCTCCCCATTCTGATGCCTGGGACCTCAAACTTTGACTGTTCACTCAGATCAAAAAGAGACAACAGTACTATCATTTGAAATGCAGAGACAATTTCTTCTTCCACTTGTTAGTTTAAAAAAAAACACACCCACTGAAAGCACTTGGGCTATTATGTGTGAGAGAAAAAAGAGTAAAGAACGGGCTCTTACTACAGTATTTATTAAAGTACATTTATTTTTAAGCATATAGGTGATCGGTGTTTCATTACCAGTAAGAAGGCAGCAGGAAGGAACAGCTATACATTTCTTTATGGTGAGCGGTAGTGTTACATGTAGAGGAACTAGAGTTTTAGATGCAAGCAGTCTGGACCTTAGTACCTGGTCTATGTCAAACTAAGGAGCAGCACTAGCTACATGAAGAGCTAGCATTCCTGTAACTGTGGGAAAGATGAGACTGAGCATGCATCTTGTCTGAGAGAGTACAGAACTCAAGGACGTGCTGACATGACTGCACAAAATGGTGTAGATCAGGCGGCAGGCAATAAAACTGCAGTGGTTCACCAGGGTCAGCTCCTGGCGGGCTGCCACCACTATATTTACCTGAGCCTCTGCAAGTATTGATTGCAAGTATCTTTGGCTGCAAATCACTGTTCCCAGCCAATAGGAGCTGTGGGAAGTAGCTCAGACTGGAGCACTGCATCCCACAGCTCCCATTGGCTGTGAATTATCAACTGTTGCCAGTGGGAGCTGCAGTTGCCTGTTTCTGTGAAGGCACAGGTAAATATAGTGACACCATCCCACTAGGGGTTAACCCTGGAGAATCAGATCTAGCCTGCAGTCCAGTATTTGCCCACCCCCAGTTTATATGGTGCTTAGTCCTGCCATAGGTGTAAGGGACCAGACAAGATGACGTCTCAAGATCTCTTCCAATCATGAAACAAAATACAGGACTATGTAGCACTTTAAAGACTAACAAGATGATTTATTAGATGATGAGCTTTCGTGGGCCAGACCCACTTCCTCAGATCAAATAGGAAGTGGGTCTGGCCCACGAAAGCTCATCATCTAATAAATCATCTTGTTAGTCTTTAAAGTGCTACATAGTCCTGTATTTTGTTTCAGCTACACCAGACTAACACGGCTACATTTCTATCACTCTTCCAATCATGTGATTCTATGAAGAGTATGTGGCATAGTGTTTATAATGTATCTGGACCTGTGAACCTGCCCTGACTCTCCTTGGATGTGTTCCAGAATTTAAACAGGAGTGTGGGTTGATCTAACCATGATGACCCTAGGGTAATGGACACCAAAAAGTTTGCCAATGAAGTTAATCCAGATCTGAAGAAATGCAGTGTGGGACAGCAATTGGAGACTAGCTAAACTAATGTATTTTTAAGGGGTTATGTTCATTTAATCTTCATAGAGGTATAACTCATTCCAAAGTAATTATGCCACTTTCAAAATGATTCATCATAAGAAAATAATAGAAAGATTAAAAAGAAGAATTTGAGTGTGGAGGCAAAGCAGTTTAGGCTGCACAAACTAAACATATACTGAAAAAAAGCTCTTATATGGATAAGACCTAAGTACCTTCTGAAATCTAACTCATTCTGCAGTTCCTCTCTTTATATTACACTTTTTGGCCTCTGTGATGATGGACAAACTTGGAAGCATTCTTTGTGAAATTATGGGAGAAACTGAACAGAAAAATTGGAAGAAACAATTAACAAAAACATTTCAATATATGTAAGATGGAATAATATAATGTAGGCAGTAATGTGCTGCATAGTCAATTAATGAAGGTTTTTGTGGGTATGTCTACACTACAGTGTTATTTCAAAATAGTTAATTTTTAATATGTTATTTTGAAATAACGTGTCTACACACAAAATGTATTTCGAAATAGCGTTTTGCTATTTTGAAATAGCGCGTCCACACTGAGTGGATGCTGAATCTCATTTAAGGCTGGACAGAACCAGGTCTGGCAGGGTATCAGGTCAGGAGTTACTTTTTGTAACTGCTGCTGCCTGAGGCTATCTAAGGCCTATGCTTAAAGGGACTCCTCTACACGCCCCACCCTCAGACAGCTGGTTCTCAGGTTTCCCTGCTTTCTTGCCTACCTTGCTGAGGAACAGCAAAGCATTTTGTCTCTGTGTGCTCTGGTTACCCTCACTGAGGACACCACAGTCCTCTGCAACATGGAGCTGGAGCCACCCCTGGGCACCCTGGTGCTTCTCTTGGATGCATTGCTGAAAACCTGGCTGCACTTTCTGCAGGCTGCCATCCAGGGGGTCCATCAGGGGGCTGTCAGTATCCAGGAGACCCTGCGGGAGAGCTTCCACCCTGAGGAGGACTGAGAGCTTCCCTGGTCTTCCTCACTGGGGGCTTGTGCCTCATTCCTCCCTCACGTCCTTCCAGTTACCCCTCCCTAACTCCCCTTCCTGATGTTAAATAAAATACACATATTTTCAAGAACACAAACTCTCTTTATTTAACAAAACTGGGAGGAGGATGAAACTCTGAGACTGGGGAAAGGAGCTGGGAGAGGGGAGGGGGAAACCTGGGAGGAGGGAGCTGGAAGGGGGAAGCAAGGGGAAGAAGAGGGAGGAGAAGCTCAGGGCTCAGGGTTGGGGGTCTTGCGGGACCAACTTGATTTTCATGCAGAACTGATCCTGGGTTCACATGTGGCCTTTGGTGGCCAGGCTGGCAGCTATCCTGCCATAGATGGCCATATTCTTCTGTCTAGTGCAGAAATCATGGATGCTGGGGGCATCCCCCCCAAAGCTGAATAAGGTCCATGATCTCCACACTGGACCAGGAAGGCGCCCACCTTCTCTAGGCCCTGACAGGCTCCTGGGAGCTGGCAGACTGCTCCTGGGGAGTGATGGAGGGCTGGCTGGCAGGGTTTTGGGGGCACTGGGCCAGGGGCAGTGACTTCTGGCTCTGGGCTGATAGGCTTGGAGCTGGCACAGGCACTGTGGCCAGAGTCAACCCCTTTAAGGGCTCCAGGGAAGGGGGAGGGAGAGGAGTGTTCTTGGTTGAGGCTGGAGTGTGGCCACCAGGACATCCTGGGAAGGCTGAAGGCCCCCTATTTCGAAATAAGTGTCTACACAGCACTTATTTCAAAATAGTTATTTTGAATTTGGAATTATTCCTCATGGAATGAGGTTTACCAAATTCAAAATAAGCTCTCTGCTATTTCAAATTAATTTTGAAATAGTGGTTTGGCTATGTAGACGCTAGTAAATTTATTTCAAAATAACAGCGGTTATTGTGAAATAAGTTTGCTGTGTAGACATACCCTGTGTTTCAGAGGAAGAATTGTATCTTTCCAGAAAAAAAATCACTCTAGTGACCTGTTGTACATACCTAGAGTTAAATAGTTTAATTACATACTTTTTCTATTAAGCACTCTGCCATGGTGGCATTTCAACTGAGATGTCAAAACGAAAAGTATAAGAAAAGAAAATGGCTCAATTAGCAGTTAATTTAAAGTAACTAAAGTGTATTAAGCCCAGTCAAATTAACTATTTTATTTTTGTTACTTGTGTGATTACCAACAAGAAGCATGAGTCATTTAAAAGCCAATCTGCTGGCTACAGTACGTGCTGTTTTATAGTGTCTTTTCCTTGCCAGCATGAACATTTATCCATTAATGTTTCACATCTGTTCTTTGTAATTTAGTGATTATGTACAGGCATCTGTGTCTTCATTGTTTATTTTAAAAGGACAATAGGAAGTGTCATTTCACTTACATCAGATTAAATTGATGGCTCTGATTTTTGTTGACGTTTGAGGAACCAGAGTTATTCTTGGGAGATCTTCAGAAATGGATATAACTTAGTAAAGGATAGAAAATCTGAAAGTTTGACAAAACAGTTGGTTAGATTTGAGTAAGTACTATAGAACAAAATTTGCAAACATGCAGTTGATTGTGAAGAACATGTATATAAAATTCATGATCAGACTTGTTTTGCTCATGTTCTGTGCACACCCACTCTGCCAGTTTTTCTTTCTTCAAATATTTAGGGAGTAACTTCATATTCACATGCAAGCATAGGTATTTGTGTCTTGATAAAAGTATTTGCTTTTTATAATTTGTTACTAACTACTAATAATTTATTTCTGTTTTAAAACTGTTTATAAGTTGGAATTATGTATAGTATTTGAATGCATTAATATTAATGGAAGATACCACCTTATGCTAATTTAATCATAAATTCCTTTAAATCCTAAGGCCTAATTGTATTTTGCATAATTACTCTATAATTGCTCTAACATCTTAAAAAATACACAGTACAGTAAGAAAATATTTTATAGGCATGTGATCAGCACACTCACAAGTAGGCAGTCCAGGAAAAAGCCATCTCATTTTGATGTGCTGCAACATCAAGTAGGATTTGACATTAGAGAACCTGCAAATTCATCTCTCTCGATACACTTCAGCTAGCTTGCTAGCTTCATAAAAATCTAGCTTGAAGCATTTTATCTTGGCTATTCTACTTCCTTCAAGAATCTCCTCATCATTGTTTACCAGAAGAATAGTGGGGAGGTTTATGTTTGTTTTCTTAAAACAGCTTTTATTTGTCCCATTACTTCAGCTTTTTACTTCAAAAGGTAACGTTTGAAACAAATAACTCTCCCATACTATAAGTAATATTTCCTCTCATTGTTGCCTTTCATTTTTTGATTGGGACATTTTCTGTAAAGCTCCAAACCAAAACATAGATATATTATTTTGTTAACCAAACTTAAGATGATGTTAATTCTTAATTTCATAACTATCCCTACAGGCATTCAGTCAGGAATAAAACCAGGGAGTTCTTTAAAAAATGTTTATATATTTATTTTGTGGGCGGTCCCAGAATTGAAGTTGAGAAGAAGAAAGGATTGTTGAAGTAAGATGGGAATATAGTAAAAAAGCATATGGTAGAAAGGGCAAAGAGGCAAGGGGCGAGAGAGATTTGGGTGGGGTGGAGACTGAAGGAGAATGAAACAAAAATGGACACAACTTTTTGACACAAGCCTTTGTGTGTGTGTTTATGTGTGTGTGTGAGAGAGAGAGCGAGAGAGAGAAGGCGTGTCTAGACACTTTGAAATTGCAAATGAAGCCAGGATTTCAATTTCCAGTGCTTCATTTGCGTGTTCGCGTCATGGCATCTTTCAAAAAAGCACTCTTTCGAAAGTGAAACTGCAGTCTAGACAATAGAAGCCTTTTTCGAAAGATCCTGTAAACCTCAGACTGCGGTTTCACTGAAACGTTTTGTGCAATAGCATTGATTGTTCCATAAATTACCGTAATTGAGCGAATATGCCCCACACCCGAATATACCCCGTGTTTTTTTCTATTTGAGTAAAAAAAAAATCTTTTATACCTCATGCATGAATATAACCCGTGGGGTATACAAGACTTTTCTGTGCCGGGGGTATATTTGCTGGGGGAATATTTACAGTGTGGGAGGGGGGGGGGGGGGGGGGGAGATTAGCCACTCACCGCCCCAGGTTCCAGCGCAGCCGCCAGCCTCTGGGCGGGGGAGAACTCATCCCACAGGTTCTTCCACAGCTGCAGGAAGGGATGGGGGAGCAGGACCCCCCAGCCTCTGGGTGGAGGAGCGCTTACTGCCCGGTTCCTGCGCAGTCTCAGGAAGGGGCAGGGGGATGATCGCTCCTCCCTCTTGCTATGTTTTTTAATTTGGGGTATACATTTAAGTTGGGCCTCTATTATGGTGTCTTTAAAAAGTTTCCATGCAGCTTTCAGGGATTTGGCTCTAGTCACTGTGCCTTTTAATTTCTGTTTAACTAACCTCCTCATTTTTGCGTAATTCCCCTTTTTGAAATTAAATGCCAGGGTGCTGGACTGCTGAGGTGTTCTTCCCACCACAGGAATGTTGAATGTTATTATATTATGGTCACTATTCCCAAGCGGTCCTGTAACGGTTATATCCTGGACCTGATCCTGCGCTCCACTCAGGACTAAATCGAGAATTGCCTCTCCACTTGTGGGTTCCTGCACCAGCTGTTCCAAGAAGCAATCGTTTAAGCCATTGAGAAATTTTATCTCTGCTTCTCTTCCTGAGGTGACATGTATCCAGTCAATATGGGGATAATTAAAATCCCCCATTATTATAGAGTTCTTTATTTTGGTAGCCTCTCTAATCTCCCTCAGCATTTCAATGTCAGTGTTGCTTTCCTGGTCAGGTGGTCGGTATGTCCCTACTGCTAAATTCTTATTATTGGAGTATGAAATTACTATCCATAGCAATTCTATGGAACGTGTTGATTCATTTAATATTTTTATTTCATTTGATTCTACATTATCTTTCACATACAGTGCCACTCCACCACCCACCCGGCCTGCTCTATCCTTTCTATATATTTTATATCCCGGGATGATTGTGTCCCACAAATTTTCCTCATTCCACCAGGTTTCAGTGATGCCTTTTATGTCAATCTCCTCCTTTAATACGAGGTACTCTAGTTCACTCATCTTATTAGTCCGACGTAGGAGTAGGAAGATTATATTACTGCTGTATTTCGTACTGGTATGAATGCTGCTGTGATACCATGTCCAGTTCCGGTATCAACATTACTAAAAGAATGTTCGTATATTGGAAAGGATTCAGAGAAGAGACTCAAGCATGCTTAAAGGATTGAAAAACATACTTCCTCTGTCAATGACAATTACTAAATTAAAATTGGATTTTTTTTCCAAAAAGATGTGCAATCATGAACATAGGGAAATTTTATGGTCTGTATTATACAGGAGTGAGACCAGCTGATCACCTTGTCTCTTTCTGGCTTCATAATCTATTATCTGTGTTATAGTTTTTTACAAACATCTTCATATTACACATAGGCTGTGTCTAGACTGGCCAGTTTTTCTGGAAAATCAGCCGCTTTTCCGGAAAAACTTGCCAGCTGTCTACACTGGCTGCTTGAATTTCCGCAAAAGCACTGACTTCCTACTGTAAGAAATCAGTGCTTCTTGTGGAAATACTATTCAGCTTCCCTTCAAGCAAAAGTCCCTTTTGAGCAAAGCTTTTGCACAAAAGGGCCATTGTAGACAGCTCAGATTTGTTTTCCGCAAAAAAGCCCTGATCGCGAAAATGGCGATCGGGGCTTTTTTTGCAGAAAAGCGTGTCTAGATTGGCACGGACGCTTTTCCGCAAAAAGTGCTTTTGCAGAAAAGCGTCCGTGCCAATCTAGATGCTCTGTTCCGAAAATGCTTTTAACGGAAAACTTTTCCGTTAAAACCATTTCCGGAAAATCATGCCAATCTAGACGCAGCCCTCCAGTGTACATTCCTCTATTTTTTCTGTTTAAGGTATTTCATTTATTTTATACCTAATCTGGCACTTTGCTGGAAAAAATAATACATAGCTACTGGTCAGTATCCTATGAGAGCTATAAATCCAATGAGAGCTACATTTGAAGTAGTGACATTTCCAGAAGGAATAGTGGGCATTGTAAGTCCACTGTATACACTGACAAAATCATAATTTTCCAAGGAAAATACATATTAAAAAGTATTTGTAATGTAGGGATTTTTAATTATATTAATTCTCTCTATGTGGGAACTATACAAAACTTGACACTTCTGTGTTGAATAGATTAGTTTGTTGTTATTGTTAGAAAAAATGCCAGAAAATAAATGAATTTAAACCTCTTTTTGAATCTTAAATGTATACAGCACCAGATACATAATTCTCTGTAGACACAGATCTGGAAGTTGTCTGACCAGCAAACAGAGCAATCATCAGTGGTAGCACTGATATATTTTGAATTTGCTCAGAGTAGTGGGTAACTCTGATACAGAAGAAATCCATTAGTGGAATAATCATACTGAAACTCCTTAGGAGCAGTGCAGTTCTATTCCCTGATGAAGGGTCACTTTAAGTCTGACTATCCCCAATTATTAGCAAAAAGATCAGGTAAGTTGGAATAATAAAAGGGGTGAGTTCCTCCGATATCTTGGCTGTACCAAAAGCTGTCACAAGAGCATAGAGAAAAGATCACAAGTGGTCACCAGTTTAAAGGGAACCACAAGCTATGTTCCCCCTTTCCTAGTATCAAAGCAAGCCCTCTGCAAGAGAGTGTTTCTGTAGCTGTCATGATGAAAGTAGGGCATGACACTCTCTATATCCTCAGTGTACATCTGCTCTGAATCCCTTTCTCGCCACTGCTGCTTTATTCATCCATAGGTCTCTGGGTTAGGAAAAGATTGGGAGGATACATAGCGGAAATATCCCCCTGGGAATTTTCATAGATGCAGCTTCTTTTCTTTACATTTTATCTTTTTAATCAACTGTCCTGCTGACTGAATGGTGAAAAATGTTGAGACTTCAAACTTGGCATGTAGGAAATGCTCATTGAGGCGTGGATACCTTGGAGATCAATGAAGATAGGAATTTCTGTCTTGTGGGAAATCTGGCTATTCCAACATTTTTGGTTTTTTAATCTCCAAACTGAGCAAACAATTGAACATTTTTGTATAATGAAATACTTTTGGAAATGCTGAATATTTTCTTTTAGCATGACTAAATCAAAATGTTCATATTTTTGTTGTTTTGAATTGATCCAAAATGCTCAGTTAAGAAGCCATTTTTATATTAAACTAATTTTCCAATTTGTTCTGCATGGGAGTTGTAGTTCAGACAAGTTTGCTGACAGCAATTGGACCCCCTTCACAATTTGCGCTATAAAAATTGTATTGCTGCTCCTGTGCTGCTGGCTTGTTCCCTCTTGCTTTGTTCATCCATATGAGTAACACGTTGTGTTACCTGCAGAGAGGCATGTGCAGATGTGTACCACCATTAGAACAAAAAAATCTAAAAAAAAAATATAGGGCTGTAAAGTGATTAAATAACATTGTGTTTAATTGTATGATTAATCCTGCTGTCAAACAATAATAAAATACCATTTATTTAAATATTTTGGATATTTTTTAAATTTTCAAATATATTGATTTTTATTATAATACAAAACATGCAGTGTTCACTTTATATTTTATTATAAATATTTACACTGTAAAAACAAAAGAGCATTTTTTTAAATTTCCCCCAGTACAAGTACCATAGTACAATCTCTTAATTGCAAAAATTGAACTCATAATGTAGAATTATGCAGCAATAAAACCCACTTTCAAAAATAAAACAAGTAAAACTTTAGAGTCTACAAGCTCATTCAGTCCTCCTTCTTGTTCAGTCAGTCATTCAAGACAAAAAAATTGGTTTGTAGGACATAACGCTGCCTGCTTCTTGCTTATACGTCACCTGCAGGTGAGAACAGGCATTCACATGGCTCTGTGATGGCTGGTATCACAAGATATTTACATGTCAGAAGCACTAAAGATTCATATGGCTCTTCATGCTTCAACCACTG